GTCTGGTTTTCATAAAAAGAAAACACAGAATGTTCGTTCTTTGTTAACTGGTGTGCATATCTTGAAATTTTTTATCACATGCCAAAAAAATTTCCAAACAAAACTCAACAACAAGAAAAAAGATAGGAATACTTTAAGAAATTAATATAAATTTTGAATGGGTTTGGGAAAGTACAACCAACACCTAGAGAAAACTATAACTTTTGTTCTACCAGGTCTCCTGCCCTGAAGAAAATTTAATATAAACAAATACCTAAACATTTTTAAAGTTACACAGTTCTATCATAATGCAGTGGGAAAAATCCAACCAACGTAGAAAAGTAGACATAAGTTACCTCTTTAAACACATCTATTCCATTTGATTTATATTGAATTTTCTTTTGTTTTTCCACATTTCACTGGAGCAATTACATGAAATGCTTTAACTAGATTCAGTAATGGCGAGTAGAATTCCAAAAAACATAAAATGGCCTCTCTGTCTCCCTCTCACTTTCTTTCCCTCTCTCTTTCTCTCTTTCTTCAGTGAGCCACCTTGAGCAATGCCCTTGAAGTTTTGGATTTCTTCCAATTCTTGGGTTGGAAAACTGGCAGTACAGAAAGTAGTGATGACTATTAACTAGCCAGTGCCATTCTTCATTTGGCTGGCATGGACTCAGCATGCTAGTGTGATCCCATTTTTGAAACATTAAAATGGTACTGCTCTTTGATTTTCTTCCTTAAGGTAGTTTTAGCTTGATTGTTCTGGCCTAGCTACTTGAAGGATAATTTTATTTCTGAACATTGTCTCTGTAGCTTTAATTTTAAGACAAAGTCTTAAGATTTGCAAATGACATGGGATTGATTTATGGTTGAAAGTTGATGTACTTGGACTAGTAAATTATTATATATCCAAGAATGCAGCAGTGAAAAACTTTGTTTCATATTTTGCCTTAACAAAGGATTCATGAAGGGAATATTCGAAACCAGAAAGGGCATTAGTTAAATGTTTATAACATAAAGAAATTATAAAAGGAACTTGCATTTGAATTACTACATAATATATGCAAAAGAAAATATAACACTAAGGGACTATTATAGACCAGAGTTCTATGATATGCCTGAAGAGAAAATGCATTCGATAAGTTATTTTTCATAATAAAAAGAGACACTGTAATAATTGTTTAAATTGCTAAAGCACCTTTGTAATTTAGGCCCTTTCAAGTTTACTTGTAGAGTAGCTTCATTGTATATGGAGAAAATAGAATAATATCATTTTCTTGATTTTTTCTTAGTATTATTACCTTATAAATTATGTAATATGAAATCAAAACTATGTGGTGATTGCCAAGATAGGTCAAGTAGCAAAAAAGTATAATTGGTTTGAAGATTTTTATATTTAATGATTCAAATTATGATATAGAGGTAGCATCTGGAATAAATTAATATTAGATTTCTACTATAATAAAGAGATATTTCTTTCAATATTCTGAAAGTTATGTTTTAACATTTTAAATTTAATTTACTTTAATCTTTTAAAATAAGAGATGGGGTCTTGCTATGTTGGCTGGGTTGGTCTTAAACTATTGACCTCAAGCAATCCTCCCACCTCAGGCTTCCAAAGTGTTAGGATTACGGGCATGAGCCACTGTACCTGGCCAGTTTTAACATTTTTAGAGATAAAAATTCTGTGTTTGAACTGCTTACAAAATGCCTTATCATGAGTCTATAAAGAATAAATTATCTGTAAAAGTAATTTAGTGCCAAAATGATTTTGATTATGTGAAAAATCATAGTCTTATAAACTGCCATACTGATAATATATATTTGTGTATGTGACTATGTGTATGTAAAATATCTCTGCATGTTTGTTGGCTGAATGCCTATATGCTATTTTAGAGAAGATTTGTTCTAATAGGAAATACTTTGAAATCTGATTAATCTTTATTATTTTTGTAACAAAATATAACACTAAACATTTATTTCTTTATTGTGGAAGTTTTCACTTTTTAATTATTTTTGCTTAAACATTGTTGAACCAGTGACTTTTAATGTCATGAAAGAATTTTATAAATTACAAATAATTCTTTAGAAGATATTATCTATTTAAGGTGGCAATATGAATTACATTAAAAATTTTATAGTAATGGAGGGTAACAGAAATTTTATTTAAATTTGAATATTAAACTTGATGCAGGGCTGGGTGCAGTGGCTCACTCCTGTAATCCTAGCACTTTCGGAGGCTGAGGTAGGAGGATCACTTGAGTCCAGGAATTTGATACCAGCCCAGGCAACCTTGTGAGACCTCTGTCTCTCCTAAATAAATAAATAAATAAAACAAAATAAAATTAGCCAGGTGTGGTTGTGTGCCTGTGGTCCTAGCCACTCAGGAGGCTGAGGTGGGAGGATCACTTGAGTCTGGGAGGTCGAGGTTGTAGTAAGCTATGATGGTGCCCAGCCTGGATGACAGGAGACTTTGTCTCAAAACAAAAACAAATAAGAAAACCCTTGATAACCCCCAAATTGAGCTTTTTGAAGAGAAATGAATTGTTTTAAGTGTGGACTCCTGCTTCAGAACCTTGAAAGAAGAAAAAATCTTCATGTAGGAGGTGAGCTTTATGTTCTATTGGGAAATTACATAAACAGCACGGTTGGGAATTTTAATGTGAACAGTAGATTATTTTACTTTAAAAGAGAAATCCTGGCTGGGTGTGGTGGTTCACGGCCTGTAATCCCAGAATTTTGGGAGGCTGAGGGGGTTGGATCGCTTGAGCCCAGGAGTTCAAGACCAGTCTGGGCAACAATGGCAAAACCCCATCTCTACAAAAAAAAATCCAAAAAATTATCCAGGTGTGGTGGCGAGCACCTATAATCCTAGCTACTTGGGAGGCTAAGGCAGGAGAATTGCTTGAGCCGGAAAGGCGAAGATTGCAGTGAGCCCAGATGGCCCTACTGCACTGCTGGGCAACAAAGCAAGACTGTGTCTCAGAAAAAAAAAAAAAAAAAAAGAGATAAATCCTTTAACTTCGGTTTAAATTATACTCTATAAGTCTTAGCTTTTATGACAATACTTAGATATAATAAATCTTGGTATTGCTGTGGTGCTAAATAATGAGATACTCATTTAATAAATCAATTTCCTGGCTGGGCACAGTGGCTAACGCCTATAATGCCAGCACTTTGGGAGGCTGAGGCAGGCAGATCACTTGAGGTCAGGAGTTCCAGACCAGCCCAACATGGTGAAACCCCGTCTCCACTAAAAACACAAAAATTAGCTGGGCGTGGTGTCGGGCGCCTGTAATCCTAGCTACTCGGGAGGTTGAGGCAGGAGAATTGCTTGAACCTGGGGGGTGGAGGTTGCAGTGAGCCAAGATCGCACCACTGCACTCCAACTTGGGCAACAGAGTGAAACGCCGTCCAAAAAAAAAAAAAAAAAAAAAATTCCATTTCCATTCCATTTTCCCTTACTAATTAGTGTTACTTACAATTGTAAAATACATTCATGATTCCAGGGAGTGATAGGAAGTGATAGGAGAGGCGGTTAACAATGTTAGGTGATATAAATAAACGAAGAAATTCTTTTGGAATAGAGGCAATGTGGAAAAATATTAGAAACTGTTGTTCCATGCTTCACAGGCTTTTCACTGCATGGTACAAACTTAAGCATTTAAAAATTGTCTATAACCCACTTGGAAGAGGGCATTCGTATGCTTAAAGTGGCCTCAGGGAAGGAGAGCAGAGAATTTAGGAAGATTAGCAACTGGGCTGTCTGGCTGTTGGCCTCAACTCCAAGAGGGAGCGCAGCTAGGCAAGGACACGGATTAAGCGGAAGAGGTTGGAACACCTGTGCAGGCCAGGTAGGGGAGGAGTTTCAATGCTGACAAAGAACCCGTTGGGAGAGCTTCCTAAAACACCCAGCTGTCATGACGCACTGAGGAGTACTCTACTAGTTGACTGCTTTGAAGTGTGTGTGTGCGCTTGCTTGCTTTAGGAGACAAGCTATTAATACTAAAGCATATGTTAGGGAGTTGCTCAGCGTACTTGATATCTAGTAGCACCAGCCAAGCTAGCTAACAGCCTTCCCATGGAGATAGGCCAAGAAGTAGCTCCATAGAGAAAAAAGGAAGTAGTGGACCTGCCTCCAAGGTTCCGATACCGGGACGTGAAAGAGATCTGAAGTTCCTAATAGGCTGTTTACACTACCAGAGAAAAATCTGGCTCCCATCCAACCCCCACCCACGAGGTGCCCATTCCAGAGATGGGGCAAGCTGCCTTCTCATCTTCGGTAGGTGACAGCTCGGCTCACATTTGTCCACGTCTTCCATCTCGTGCCTTGACAACATCCCCAAATGATTACTGGAAGAGCTGCCTCTTTTTATAATTTCCTGACAGAATTTATAAAATTAAACATTTAAAGACAGAATCGGGGACATGTTGCATTCACATTTGATGTTCAACCTGTGCACATTTTGGTGGTCCCCAAGAATCGTCATGTCAAAGCATCAGGCTCGAAAGATCACCTTAAGCATCAAGATTTAAAAAAATAAAACACAACTCTCCTCAATCTAAACTCTAGGATTTGGATGACGCTTCCCTGTCAAGGTTTCTCCCGCGTGGAGGAGACAAGAGGCAGGAAAGGCAGGTAACTGAAATTGCCTCATGTAAAGGGGCTCAGCGCAGAGGAGGAATGAGATAATAGCGGCGGTGGGATCTTTTCCCTTCTCTCCCTTTCTATCTTGGAAACGGGGTGCGAGTGTCGGCGGAGCGGGGGCAGTCCAAGCTCCGGGGTACCGGCGGGAGGAGACTCGACGAGCGAAAGGGGCCAGCGAGGGTGACCAGGTGCCCGCTGGGGGACCCCGCCGGCGGTGGCCAGGGGCGCCCAGGTCCTCCCCGATCCCAGGATGCACTGCGCCCCGCCCCCTCCCCGCGCCGCGTTCCGCCTCCCCTCGGCCCCGGCCCCCTCCCGCCCAGCTCGGGGAGGCGGGGACGCGGCGGCGGCGGCGCCTTCACCAGTCGCGTCTTTCTCACTCACTGGGGAGCCCGGCGGTGGCGGCACCTTTCGAGGCAGACCCGCTGAGCTGCTAGCCCGCCGGCCAGGGAGTGAGAGGTCGGATCGACTGACGGCAGAGCCGACAGACGGACGGACAGCGGCAACGCCAGACGGCCAGAGTCGCCTCAAGTTCCGCCATGAGCTGGGGCACAGAGCTGTGGGTGAGTGGGGGAAAGGGGCGCCCCGCATGGACCCCGGCCCCTGAGAAGCGCGGGTTGGGCGGGCGCCGCGGACCTTCGGCGGTGAGAGCGCGCACCGCGGTCCTTGGTACGGCGCTGGCGGAGGGTGAGGGTCTCGCTCCTCTTTGTGAGCAGACTCCTCTTCCCTTCTCGGTTGGGGGTCTAGGGGGCCGCTAGTCCGTGCTCCCGCCTTTGCCACCGTGGTGCGGCTCGGGCGGCGCCCGGGACGGCCGGGGGAGCAGCCCGCGGGCTACTGCGTCCGCCGTGATCCCCTCTTGTCCCTTCCTCCTCCGCCTTCACTTTCCCGACGCCTGGCTTCGCGCCCGGCGGCTCGTCTCTCCCTTTGTATCTCTTCTCCTGGAGGCGGGGGAGGGGGCCCATTGTCCCCAATGGGCGCTGTTCGAGGGCGGGGAGGGGACCGGCCGCGATCCCTCGCCCGGGCCAGGTCCGCGGGGCTAGGGCGTCGCCTGGCTGGGGCGGCGCGGGGAGCGGGGAGGCGCCTCCCAGAGCCCTCGCCCCAGGTATGGGGACCCAGGCGGCTTTGTTCGGAGCCCGGCCTCGGGCCAGCCAGGCCCAGCCCACGCTCCCATTTCCCTCTCTCTGCTTCTGTGCTTCGGGCGGGCACAGCTTCGAGGGACTCCGGTTTGGCCAACCCTGGCTGCAGCCTTTGGGCTGATGGCTTGGTTTTGGGGGCTGAATTAAATCGAGTGATTTAATTCAGGAAGCTAATTTTGCCAAAAGGAGCGTACGGTTTCCCTGTTGCTTTACTTCCCCTTCCGTTCTTTATTCTCACTTGTTCTTTCTCCTTCGTTCTCTCCTTCCTTTCCTCCCTGCCGTTCTTTGGCACAGGAGGCTCCAGACAATGCCCAATGTCTGGCCAAGGTACGGGCGGAGGGTAATAGGTCGGAGAATTTGCCCCTGGCGCCGGCGCGGAAGGGTGGAGGTGTAGAGGGCTGTGATTTCTCAGGTGCGGCCGGGGGAACTGGGGGCGTGGGGGCGCTGTTCCGAGAGCGGCCTGGCCTCAGCCACTCCCCTTTTTATTCCACCTGTGCCTGTTTTCTGTGCCTTTTGTTCGCGAGGATCTCGTGAAATCACTGCAGAGAAAGGGGAGAAATAACTTTTGAGTATGTGTGTGCCCGGCTAGGGTGGGAGTGAAAGCCGATCGGTTAATTGAAAGGCAAAATGTTTTCTTATTTTTCTCGTCTACTCATAGATTGGGAATCTTAGAACTGCGACACTTTAGAGTCCATCTAGTGAACGCTTACTTAGCTAGCCAGGAATCTCTTGTGCAACATTCTGGACAAGTGCTTACCCAGTCTGTAAACACACCACCCAAGAGAAAATACCTTAGGAGCCCCTTCATTCTGTTTCTTAGATAGCATTAATTGTTCTTATATTGGGGAGGATTGTGTGGAAAAGAATTATGTAAAGTTTAATCCTTTTACATTGGTTAGTTTCTCAGGCATTATTGGCCTTTTTTTCCTTACACTTTGTGCATTCTATAATTGATTATAGTGAATTATCAATGAAAGGAAATCGGTATAGTTTTATTTTCAATTTTTCAATTTTTTCATGCTTACCAGAGTGCATTCATCCATTTTTATAATTACAAAATGTTTTAATTTTTGCCTGCTTAAATGACTCGTGCTTCAAAAGAAATTAAAATATAAGTAGAATACTTTTAAAAAGTAAACATAGGAAAACAGTGGAGGCATGTTATTTAGATTTAACTCTTAAGTTTTAAAAAAAAATTCACCTTGTATCACACTAAAGAATAACAGTTTTAAGGGAAAACATTATTTTAGTGAATAATAAAATGTTATTTCAAAGTTTTTTTTTAAACTTATGGTACTACATAAGGAAACTATTCCATTTCTCTGCTGTCTCCTGTAATTTGGTTATTTACTTTCAGCATTTAAATAGTTTCTCAGCAATCTGAAAAGATAAACTGTAGAAGAGATGGGAATTTTTGTTCTAACTAAAATTTGTTTTATGTCCTTTGGAAATTCTGAAAAAAGATTTTTAATTTTTCTCTTAACATTTAGCACATCTCCATATTTTAAGATTTTTAGTTTGAGGATTTGAGGGAAACATTTATTAGAAACTAAGTAATGTAGAATCAACTAATACCAACTTGGTGTCTAAAACTTAGATAAGCAGAACTTGGTGTAGAGGACTATTGTTGGGACTAGAAGAAACCTTAGGAAAATTTGAGTATGCTTCCTATTTTTACTGTTCTCAGTTTTGAAAAAGGATTGTACTTCCAATGGATTGTAATGTAATACAAACACCTGTACTGTGCTCTTGCCATTGAGGAATTCGAGGTTGGGAAATTCTCTTGAAATTTTGGATTTAGAAACCAGTTATCCTATTATTTCATGTTTAGAATCACATTACTGTCCCAAAGAGTTAATTATTGAGAATATGTTGTTACAGAAAAATGATATGTAGCCATGCACTTAAACCTAAGTCTGCTTCTTGTAACAATCATTGGAGTTTTTTTTTTTTGCTGTTTTAATGCTTCTTAAGTCTTATGTTAAATTTGAGAAAAGACAGGAATTCAATAGAACGACTCTAATACTGACTTTGGGGGACTTTTTTTTAGTGATAAGCTAAGTAGGTCGTGTCAGACTTTGGTTGTGTAGTTGTTAGGGGACATGAATTAACTTGTAATAAATTTGAGCTGTGCTTACAAGGATTTCTAGTGTTCCAAATGAGTAAATAAGTTGGTGAATGTATACTACAGTCACAGTTTTGCATTGTATTCTGGGTAATACCAAAGAAAGAGATGATACTGTGTTCACTTCTTCAGGATGCACGGTAGCATCTTAGGCATTGCTTACTATGTTCATTTCTTTATTACATAGCAAGAATGGATGGATCAGATAGAGAGCCAAATATGAATTAATAATTTCACAAAGCACAGATTTTGAAATTATTTGCTTTTTTTTTAAACAGGGAAATTAGAGATTGAAAAAGACCTATGTTTAGTAAATAAGTTTTACTTATTAAGAAATAGGTTTTTAGTTTTTTGAGGACCTGGTTAAAGTTCAACAGACAAAAATCTGTGTATGGGTTGTGAATGTGTGTATAGATACGAAAAAAAATATATGGCTGAGCACCTCACATACATATGATTTACTGAAAATTTTGCTACCCAAGGGAAATGCTGGATAAATCTGGTAGTTAGAAGATGGATTCAAATACCTGATTTAATTTATAAGTGCATATAAATATTTTTTATGCCTTAATTTCCTGGTCGATATAATCTTTGGTCCTTAGTTTAAGAATGTATAATTTAAAAGCCATTGTTATTTTCATTATATTATTTATATTATTATTATTTTTGAGGCAGAGTGTCTTCTGTTGCCTAACCTGGAGTGCAGTGGTACGATCTCGGGTCACTGCAACCTCAGCCTCTCAGGTTCAAGCCATTCTCCCACCTCAGCCCCTTGAGTAGCTGGGATTTCAGATGCACAGCACCATGCCCAACTAATTTTTGAATTTTTAGTAGAAACGGGGTTTCACCATGTTGGCCACGCTGGTCTGGAACTCCCAACCTTGTGATCTGCCCGCCTCGGCATCCCAAAGTGCTGGGTTTATAGGTATGAGCCACTGTGCCCAGCCTTCATCGTATTATTAACTAAATGCATTTGACAAAGCTTATATCTTTTTGGAAGACATTGAAAAATGTGGGTTGAGTGATAGATTAGGTGGATAATTTATGTATTACCCTCAATCTTAACCTTTTAATGCGTCATTATCTTGACTTCATAGCACTTTATATAGGACTTACATTTACATTGTAAGTGACTAGAATGTCCTTGAGTGTAGAAAGACTGGATTCATCTTTGTTTTCACTGAACAAAACAATGCTTGTAGGTGATCATGCATGTTTTGTCCAATTGCATTGATAGTTGATTGCATTACCCAGAGTATTAGTGACTAATTAGCAAGTGTATCTTTAGGGTTCTCAAAGCCTTTGTAGGTGATGATAGGTTAGGTGATCTAGATAACAGCTCAAGAAAGTCTAAAGCTGAAACCAAAATTATAAAGTTAAGTTTTATTTACTTGGGTTAAACATTTTTATCAAGTAAAATGGTGAAAGGATGGGGAAGAAAAGACCTACAGGTAATTTCTGGTGAATTTACTTGATTGATAGCTTGGTAATGTGACTGCCTAAGTAATTGATGAAATCTTAGGCCACATTAATAGATTTATCTGTGAAAAGGAATTGGGTCTCATAGTCTACTGGTTAGACCATATCTGTAATATATATGTATATTTTTAGAGATAGGGTCTTGCTATACTCTCAGGCCTGTCTTGAACTCTGTGCTCCACAATTGTCCTGCCTTAAGCTCCCAAGAAGCTGGGACTGTCTATAATATTGACTTTAATTTTACTTCACATTTTTTAGAGGGTGCTTGTCTAGAGGAGGTTGACAAAGAAAATTCATTATTAATGTAAACTGAATTGCTTCTCCAAAAGTAAATGAAAGGCCATGAAACTGCTGTAGGAATTCAGTTTTGTTTTAAAAACACAATAATTATTTTGTGTCTATTATATGGGAAGCACTGTTATGTTTGGTGAGATTTATGAAGGCTTATGATATTGGCCCTGCCCTGACAAAAGGTGGAGTTACTTTGAAGTGATATTACTTTACTAACTCCAAAATACTCCCCTACATTGATACTACTGCTCAGAATGCCCTCTGTTGACCAATTCCTATCAACCCCATGCCTCCAGACTATCCATTCTGGATATTATGTTTCTTATGGGACTACCACCTTATATTATAGTTATTTCTTGTGCATTCAAATCTTAGGGAAATTGTCATGATATAAATACTTATATCTTACATTCCCTTTTGTTGGCAGAAATTGTTGTGTTCAACATTGTATTACAGATGTTATTGCTGTTAGTTAAGGAGGATGAGTGAGAGGTATCAAGATATCTGTTTATGTCACCATTCCGTAATGACT